CTTTCCGCAGTTCTTATATTAAGGTTCTTCCTTGGGCTTATAAAGTTCATGAGTTTGGACAATTGTATAATAACATACCTATTGTTAAAGTATCATACCAGTTCTTTCACTACCCTACACATCCTCTATCCTCTATACTCCATCCCTTAGTAGTTGTGTGTTCTTTTTTAATTTTCTGTATATAATTTATTACTGTCATCATCAAAGAAGATAGTTAGACCAACTTATCTGTTATTACCAAACTGTATTTATATTTTACCTGGAAAAATTAGGGTTTTGTTGCCATTCTCAAATATAAAATATAAAGCCTGAACCTAAATATTTCTGGAAGAAAAAAAAACCCTAGCAATAGTTAACCCTTTTTAAGTATTTTCAACCCGTTAGCTTATTTAATCCTTATAACAACACTGTATCACTCATGAGCCATTAGCTACATAAGAATATTAGATTGGACAAATAAGTTGGAAAATCTAGTAGAAATGGATAAATTTCTAGAGACATAAAAGCTGTATAAGCTGAACCAAGAAGATATAAACTACTTAAACAGAACCATAATATGCAATGAAATTGAGGAATTAACAGTCTTCCAACAAAAAAAAAAGTTATAAAATGGAGACTAATTCATCTGCTGTGAAACTAAGTCTGAACCTGTTCTTCCATTACACTAAAATATCTTTATTATAACTAATGCTGTATCAGTACAATGATAAATCTTTGGCATTAAAATATATTTATATATAATTAGGCTGTTAACCACCAATGAGTATATATGTTATCCAAATCACTGTCTTAAATTGGTCACAACATAAATTTTAAGATAGGACTAGCATCATCTTCTAATATTTCATACAAAACCAAGTATTACTGATTAACACTAAATTATACAGATGATTTCTTCAATATAAATTTACAAATAAACTTCCCTTTTAAACAGTATCTAGAAAGCATCTTAATGATATTGCCTCTTAAATTATAAAATTATGAAATGTGGGCAAAGTAGTCATATCAATTCTTTTACCAAAAAGTGAAGCTGGTTTCTTTAAAAAAATTATTTTCCTACAAAAATAAGAAAATAGAGCAACTAGCATAAAAACAATAAAATGAGAGGAAATATTACGTTTTCAGTATTAGCCTTAAATGTTAATTATCTTATCTCTGCAATCAAAAGATGGATAATAATCTGAATTTAAAAACAATATTCAATCATCTGTTACCTATAAAGACACATCTCACTGACAAAGAACAATGTAAGCTTAGGGTGAAAGAATGGAGTAAAATATTACAAGTAAATAGACTCCGAAAGCAGGCAGGGATAGACATGTGAAAAAAACAGACTTTAAACTAAGATCAGTAGGACGAGACAAAGGCATTTCATATTAGTAAAGTGAACAATTTATGAAGAGGAAATTACAGTTGTTAACACATATACACACAAAATAATGGAATATCCAGGTTCATTAAGCAAACACTTCTAGGCTTACACAATGATAGAACCCTGCACATTAACAGCAGGCACTTTCAATACCCCAGTCTCACCAATAGGTAGATCTTCCAAACAAAAAATCACCAAAGAAACATCAGAACTAAATGATACCATAGACAAAATGAATTTAACAAATTTCTACAAAGTAATTCATCTAGTAGCCATACAATACACATTATTCTCAAAAGTCCATGGAACTTTCTCCAAAATAAAACATAATCTAGAATATGCACATAAAGAAATCTTGGCAAATGCATGAAAATTGAAATAACTCTATATTCTATCAGACCATAATAGAATTTTACTGGAACTCAACAGCAAAAGATACTACAGAAAATATTCAAACACATGGAGACTAAATATATTAATAAATGATGAATGTGTTCCTGATAAAATGAGAGGAAATTTAAAAATTTTTGAAATCTAATAAAAATAAAAGTTCAACCCATTTTAACTTCAATAACCAGCAATTGAAGCAAAGCTCAAGTAGGACTGGATGATTTCTGTGATCAACTGTATCCATATCCACTGAAGACTTCTCAGCTGCCCCCATCAAACTCCCCTAAGATCTATGATTCTTCCTTCTGTTAAATTCTTTCTGACTTTTCCCTCGCTGATTCCAAAATTTTATTCATAAAGGTAGTTTAAATATCTAACTGTTCAATGGAAAACAGTTTTTCCCTATGATATCCAAGCAGTGAAAAAGAAATTTTGACCCATCTAGCAAAACTCCAATCTTCTAACACTCAAATATGAAAAGCATTTCTATCAATGAATTTCATTTGTAGTTATCAATAACTGTTTTTTTATATTATAAACTCTGAGAAGGTCAAGAAGGAAGAAGTGGTTGGATTTTGAGTAAGAAGACTTAACTCTGTCAAGTTGAATCAGCACTCATGGCTCCATGGTCCCTGAACACATACACAGTGGATTCAGACAAATGTTTTAACTTCTCTGAGTGTGAGTTTTTAAAAATATGAATGAAGCAGTTCTGCCAATCTCTCAAGATTTTAGTTAGAATCAAACAATATTTGCTTACCAAACTGAAATAATTTATCACTATAATGTGAGTATACAGGTATAAAACAAAATCTAATAGTTACCTGGACTTTTAAAGAAATAAAAGTCAAAAATGAAAATAAGATATACATTTTGTTGAAATATTTAACCACTTGAAAAACAAAGGTAACTCATTTTGAGATAAACCAAAATATGAACTATTTAGAACAATATTTTACATAGTTTGAAACATTTTGCCACACAAGTGAACAACGATCTATTAAAGTAACCAATTAGGGGGCTGGGAAGGTGGCTCAGTGGTAGAGCGCTTGCCTTGCATGCATGAGGCCCTGGGTTCGATTCCTCAGCACCACATAAGCGAAAAGAAAAAAGCCGGAAGTGGAGCTGTGGCTCAAGTGGTAGAGTGCTAGCCTTGAGCTGAAGAGCTGAGGGACAGCGCCCAGGCCCAGAGTTCAGGCCCCATGACCGGACCCAAACACACACACACACACACACACACACACACACACACACACACACGTAACCAATTAGCTATTGCTATAATGATCAACAAATTATAAATGCTGATCATTTCATAGTTTAATATAAATATTAAGGTAACACTTCAATCTTTATTGGCTTATAACTACATTATTGTTGGCTTAGGAATCAGATGAGAAAACTTACCGCTAAGAATGCTAAATAATGGAAGACAACAGCATCCAGAAAATTCACTTGTCTCTAGTGTTTGCTTTGTTATACTTCCTATAGCTACTGGACAAAATTTAGTATTTCTTCTCCAATCCTCTGCTATAGAATCTCCAACTCTTATCTTTATCAATAAGGAAATGAAAGGCCAAAGAAAGTTAAGTTTCCTTCCACTTCCCCTATAATATAACTATAGTAGCACCCATCTTGGACTTATTCATGAGAACAGACTGTTCATGAAATGTTTTTCTGTGTCAAATGCTGCATTAAATATTTTATATACACTAATTTAGCTCTCACATTAAACATACAAAGTATATTTGGGGCTAATTTTCTTTAGAAAATGAAGCTAAGTATTTTTTAAGGAGCCAACTGTAGAAGGTTTAGATCAGGGTCTGTCTATGACTCTGTATCTGAGAAGAGGTCTAAGGCCTGTCCCAAGACAAGCCTCCTTGACCTTCTATACCTATCCTATCCACCACATTTATAACTTTACATATCATCCTTCTAGGTTTCATAACAGAGCTGATTTTTTAAAATTTAAATTACTATTCTAAATTGATAAATGTAGCTTATGCACTGAGCACTGTATGTTTGAATACACATTTACATTAGTATATTTGATAGCACAGGTTGTCTTAAAGACATGTGAATTTAGGACATGTAGATTTAGTGAATTCTCATTAGTTTCTGAGACAAACTCAAAATACCAGGTAATAACAACTGATAGCTACTACCTTCCTCTTTCCTTCATCTACAGTAGAAAAGAAATGAAATTTTCTGCTTCTGAAAGAAGCAATGATGGTCTCTTTAATGTGCCTAACAATGCAGGGCCTAATTGGCTTCAAGGAGTTTTCTCAAATGACTTTTAATAAAGCTTCTTTAGCAGGTTAAGTAGTTCAGCCTAGGCCACACAGTTTACCATGCTGCTTATATAGAATTCACCCCTCTTCCCCACCTCAATCACAAGGAGCCCATTTCCTTCAGCTTTTAAGGATTAACTTCACTAAATACCAGGCCAATAAGGACTTGAATCTTCCTTGTTCAGTATCTCACCAGGACTTACACAGTAGGTGCTGAAAAAAAAGTATTTTTTATAATGAACAATGGTAAGAAAACAAATTAGAAACTTGTGTTCCTTATAATAAAATTTTCCTTAGGATACTTTTGTAATCCTGTTGTTTTAAATAATAAAAAAGCAAAACAAAGCAAAATCTCTACTTTTAAGCTTTACCATAAGGCTAATTTACTTTAATAATATTCAGTCTGAATGGATTTTAATTCCATCTTTATCATTTATTCAGATTCAAAACAAGTCAAATAATCCAGGAATAAGTTTTATGTTTTAAATTTACATATGTTTTTTCATGTAATTGAATCTGTATCTTCAAAAGCTAGGTTTCTTACAAATCAGAATGTACCTTCCTAAATCCAATAAAAGGATATCACTATATCTGTAGTTCATAAACAGCTTGTCAATCACTCCTGTAATTCAAGAGCTCTATGCATATTTATTACTGCATTCCTTTTTAAACAAATATTGCAAAAGATTACACACAGTGAGAGAAATGTCACCTAAATGCTTTTAAAAGACTGTAAATATCAGTTCTTAATGGTAGGTTCCTTGTCTATCATTAAAATAAATATCAGCTTCCTGTCTCCTTTCAATTTTGTTGAATGCCATCTACTTATAAGTTAACTAATGATTCAAAAGAGCCAATTACATTTTGTCTATGATTTCTCAATTTCTTTCCTATGCCTCAAAACCATGATTTATCAGATAAATTCAAAGTAGGAACTATTCACAAACCTCCATCCATCCTTCTGGAGATAGCTGAAGACTCCATCAATAACACTTGCGAAGAACTGCCCTCCTGTGATGAAAAGGGTATTGATGGTAACTAACCGGCCTCTTAGGTTGGGGGGTGAAACCTCCGCAATGTACACTGGAACAGTCATGGAAGCAATACCTGGAAAATACACAGGAAAGCAAACATGAGACTTTCATTCATCTTGAGTATGAACAAAATACTAGATATAACATACTGGGGTTCATTCATGGCTTTGGTTTTCTGCTCTAAACTAAGACAACAACATTCCTGAAGGTTTTGTTAGTGATTCACTGGAGCTAATACAAATTAAAACCAATCTCTGAGTTCAGTTTTCTATACTATTACTTAAAAGTCTTGTGTAACAATCCAGATACCAATAACTCATGTCTGTCATCCTAGCTACTCAGGAGAGTGAAATCAGAGGATAGCAAATTTTTCTGCCAGTGCAGAAAAGTCTGAGAGACTTAACCAGCAAAAAAGTTAGACTTGGAGACTTGGCTCAAATGGTGGAGCATTACCTGTGAGCCAGGAAGCTGAGCAAGACTATGAGTCAAATCCCTGTACCAGTAGTAAGAACAATAATAAATCTACAGACCTAGGATAACTTGAGTATGTCTAAATGAACTTTATAATGTCTAAAGACTAAAAATAAAACTGATCTCTACAAAGAGTTTAACTATTAAAATATTTTTAGTCTATATGGAAATGCAATCAGATAATGGGGAGAATAAAACATTTTCCCTAAATATATACTACTTAAAATCATCATCTCATGCAGTTCATCAAACTTATAAATTGGGTTATTAATTCATATTAAGTCACCCTACTCTATTGGCTAGATTTACATTTCAGGAAAAACTTACATTGGACAACACCTTTAGGAAAAGACAGTTCTGATTATCTTAGACATAAACAGTTTTATGGCTAAGATATACTTGCTTATGTTATCTTCTCTTTTTTTACCCATTTAAAATTACTAGGTTGCTAGTGGTTCATGTATAATCCCATGTATTCAGGAGGCTCACAGTTCAAAGCCACCTCAGACAGAAAAGTCCATGGGAGATTCCATATTCAACTAAAGAGCAAAAAGACTGGATGAGTGGCTTAAGTGGTAGGCACCTGCCATGAACAAGCAGGATCAACAAGAGCTCAAGGTCCTGAGTGCAAGCCATGGTTCCAGACAACAACTCACGCCTGTAATCCTAGCTACTCAGGAGGCTGAGATCTGAGAATCACAGTCCAAAGCCAGCCCAGGCAGGTAAATCCATGAGACTCTTACTTCCAATTAACCAATTAAAAAACCAGAAGTGGAGCTGTGGCTCAAGTGGTAGAGTGCTTACCTTGAGCTGAAGAGCTCAGGGAAAGAACTCAGGCCCACAGTTCAAGCCCTACAACTGACAAAAAGATAAAGATGTCTTTGCCTTACCACTGCACTCTGACCCACTAATCAGAAAACTACACAGGTAGGTTGCATTTGTCTTATGTAAATCTTCCAAGCAGGGATCATGATGCTCACTGAGGTATTGTAGAAACTCAAGTTCTATGATGTAAAACTTCAAGACAATCCACTCTCCTAAGAACGTCCAATTTTTCGGACTGAAACTAGTATCTAACTAATAATCACCAAATTTTCAGTGGGAAAAAATCAGTTACTTATAAAAGTTTAAAGCTTTTTAATTGGGCACTGGTGTTTACATCTGTAATCCCAGCTATTAAGAAGGCCACGTCAGCTTGAGCTCCCTTTTCAACTGGGCAGAAAAATTTGTAAGTGTCCATTTCCAATTAACCAGCCAAAAAAAAAAAAAAAAAGCAAGACTAGAGATGTGGCTCAAGAGGTAAAATGCCAGTGGAGAGCAAGACAGCTGAGTAGAAGGCCCTGAGTACAAGCCCAATACTGGCATAAAAATAAATGAATAATTTAAGCGTCTTAATATATTGATTCTATGAATAATTAACTTGATGAAGTCAGAGTATGCATAACTGAGCCATATAGAATTGCTTTTAATAACTTGATTTTATGATACCAAAAAGTGGAGAGTACTGAGAAAGCTGATGCTCTGTTTTCAGCATAAGGGATGGTGACAGCTGTCACACAAAACACAATGCACGTTACTGCTCCACATTCTCAGTTACAGTGAAGGTTGTGTTTCTGGCACTGTTGGAGATACACCCTAGGGCTTTTGGCATGCTGGATAAACACTCTACCCTAAACCCAAGCCTAGTAAAACAGCCAGTGTGAATAATACAAGTATTTCCTTCTTATGGAGACAGAGAAGCCCAACTCAGTGTTTTAGGCTTCCTGGCATTTATTCTGGGCACTAAAAATCTCTCTTGTTGTCACAGTAGTTTCCAATTCTACTGATTTTTTATTATTATTCAATTTATTTGTTTTGTGAATTCTTTGGTAAACATAAGGATAAACACATTGTATTTAAGTAATACATATTTATATGGAAAATTCATTGCAAAACTACTATTAAAGTTCACCATTATTTCTTGCCACTGTAGTTTTATCAATATTTAGAGATAATAATCTTATGAGATTTTATGAGATACACAGAATAAGTATTAGATACAATAGGATGAGTGTTTAATGATTTTCACCTAAGCAGCTGAAAAGTCCCTTTGACTACTAATCAGATTAATCAGAAGAAACAATGGCTACCTATGTTGATAAGTGAAGTCTTTTCTGTTCCTTTACTATGTGAACATCTCAATATGCTTTCAAAAATCAAATACTAATTTGTTATCTGGATTTCATTTTATGCATTGACCTAGGTTTAAACAAGAAGTAGGTTGTTCTCTTTAGATTGATAGATCTATTCAGCAATCTAACCCACAGAAGTGAGCTGACAAAAGTGGGACTGTGGGTTGGGCCAACAAATGTTGGTCACAACATCCACAGATTTTATTTGACAGAAAATGTAAACATGTCCTCAAGACCTTAAAATATCAAAAAATTGATGGTAAAGAAAGCCTGATTTTTTTCTTCCCAAAATGAACCTCAGAGCATTGCATTCAACGTAAGAGATAAAGCCAGGGCACTAGTAATTCCTAGCTGTAATCCTAGCTATTAAGATAGCTAAGATCTGAGGACTGAGTTTCAAAGCCAGCCTAGGCTAAATTGTGTAAGAGACTCTTATCTCCAACAAAACCAGCACAACACTCCATGTAGAGTTGTGGCTCAGATGGTGAGCCTCAAGCAAAAAAAAAAAAGAAAAGTGAGAGTGTGCGCGCGCGTGCACACACACACACACACACACAGAGTAGCAGATAAAAGGAAAAAGACTGAGGAATTATAAAAAGCCATAGCCACTGTATTTAGAGTTAGAAAAGGCCTCAAAAGATCTCTGTACAATGAGTGCTCATCTATGATGTTAGATAGTATAAATAGGCCAGATAATTTACTTAATCCACAATGTATCTCCATTAAAAGCAAGTAATCATCCCCATTTCACAGAGAACCACCTTACTACATGGCATACAGTAAATATAATGAAAATTCAAAGCTGACAGATTCCATAATCCATTGTGAAGCCATAGATGAGAGGGGGCTCTGGAACCTTACCCAACTCCAACCTTACCCCTTCCCAGCTCATACTTTTAACCCTAGCTATTCAAGAGGCTGAAATCTTACCACCTATATTCAAAGCCAGTCTGGAAAAGTCAGAAAGAAAGGGAGGAGAAAAAAGGGGAAGGAAAAGGAAGGGAGGGGAAGGGAAGGGAGAGGAAGGGAGGGAAGAGGAGGGGAGGGGAGGGGAGGTTAAAGCCCATTATGAGGAAAAATGGTTAGTTAAAACCACCAGCTTTTAGGGTCTATTCTATAATCACTATAGAGTCTGTGTAGTTTAGCCCTGGATAATTAAGTTACAGGAGCATTCAAATAAATGAGCAATAACTTTCCTTATTATTCTCCTAAAGTTGACTGGACTGTAAAGAAAATGAGCCAGGTGCTATTGGTTCATGCCTGAAATCCTAGCTACTCAGGAGGCTGAGATCTGAAGACAGAAGTTCAAAGCCAGGAGGAAACTCCATGAGACTCATCTCCAATTAATCACCAAAAAAGCCTTAAGTGCAATGGTGGCCCACGTGGTAGAACATGAGCAAAAAGCTCAGAGACAGCGCCCAAGTGCTAAGTTCAAGCCAAGGACAGACGGATGGAAGGAAGGAAGGAAGGAAGGAAGGAAGGAAGGAAGGAAGGAAGGAAGGAAGGAAGGAAGGAA